ACACCAGTAACGTCTCTATTGGGAGATTTGTTGTTACTGTTTTTGGCATATCTAATATGCCACGGGGAGCTTGCCAGGCTCTGCAGTGCAGGCGGGATACCCACCCTTGGTAGCTTTCCAGGCTTTCCGAGGAATGGAGGAATTGAACCCAGGTCGGCCACATGCAAGTTCAATGTCCTACCCACTCTGCTATTGTTCCAGCCCATTATCAAGTATAGCATTATAAATAATAATGATACACATATCTGAAAAAATACAGTTGTTTTAAAAATTTAAGTCTAATGTTGATAAATTGCTATTACTTTCACTATTAATAGAATGAAGAAAAACCATCATACTGCTATTAAATCAATACTGAAGAACTATATCAGTCTATACACACTCGTGATTTAATACAGATGAAACTTTGGAAAGTGATTTTGCAATTATATAAAATTCCTTTAAACTGATCAATGGTATGCACTATAATGACTGATTTTAAATACTGAGGTTTTGTATGTTTCTTTGGGAAGGCCACATCCAGCTGCATCCTGGCTCTGCGCAGGCTCATGAGCACTACAGGTACTCTTTCAGGACTCTGAGTGGTGCCGGGGATTGAACCTAGACACGCAGGGAACGTGCCAGCACCTTAACTTCTGTCCTACTCCCCAATCCTTTGACTGTTTTCCTAACTGACATCAAAATAGAACCACAAAAAGAGCACTCATGATCATTCCTTTCATTTACATCACTCTAAAGTTCCCAATTAATACATTAAATAAAGATTTGCTCGAGCTCGAGCGGGCCCACTAACGTCTCCATCATGAGACTTGTTGTTACTGTGTTTGGCATATCGAATACGTCGCGGGGAGCTTAAATAAAGAAACATAGATAAACTTGAAATAATTAAAACTATAATTATTCACAGATGAAATTATTTTGTGTATGGAAAATCTAGCAAATGTACTACATGTGGAAAATGACAATTATATTTTTTTAATTTACTAGCTATAAATATTTGGAAAGGGAAGTTTTAAACACTGCTATAGATAATGGGAACAACTTACAGAAAATATGTCTCTAACAAAATATGTCAATTTGAAATTCAGTCAGCAGAATGTATTTTGCTTCCTACCACATATAGAACATAAAATTTGTTGGTTTGCACCTCTAAATATAGAAAGTATACAAATTAATAAATAAATTAGTAGAAATGGTTTTCTTTGTGAGAAGGTTAGGTTACATAGGAACAAGTTAAAACCATTTTTATTCCATTGTGAAAAAAAAAAGAAAAATATACTCATAAAATTCCCTTGTAATTATGTCCCTAAATGAATGTATTATCGTTTAAATATATATATCTTGCTTACACTTCTCATGTAAAATATAATGTAGAGCATTTCCATATACTAGAGATAAAGGGGATTTGGTGCATATTCCTGATAATTTAGAATTATCACAAACACTGAGAATATTTTTTGATACTGAGTAAAATTGTTTAAAAGTGATATTATGTTTGATTTGACAGTTAGGTTCTAATAATGAAAAAAATTCAATTAACCAAATAGCAGCAAATTTCTTATAAGAATATGTGTGTGGTGAAACAATTTAAGTCTCAGAATGAGATTAAAGAATATGTAGCTATATGCCACATTATGAAAAATATTTCAAAGATAAGTTTTTGAGCAAATAAGGAAAAGTTGAGAAACTCAAAAATATATTTATTACAATGAAAGATTAACTAACATGATTATTTGGCATTGTAGCACTGCCCTCCTGTTGTTCATCGATTTGCTCGAGCGGGCACCGTAACATCTCCATTGTGAGACTTGTTAGTCTTTTGGGCATATCAAATATGCTGCCACGGAGAGCCTGCCAGTTTCTGCCATGTGGGCGTGATACTCTCAGTAGCTTGCCGAGCTCTCCAAAAGGGATCGAGGAATCAAACCCTGGTCGGCCACATGCAAGGCAAATGCCCTACCCACTATGCTATCGCTCCAGCCCAATATGATTATATATATATGTGATTAAATGTCAAATTATGTATCCCTCAGAGTTAGTTACTGTTTAGTTATACAGCAGATATTTTCACGTTGTATATAATATATAATACTATTTTCTTGAATTTTGATTAAGTGAAATATTGTTGAAATGTGGAAAAAAATTCAAGAAAAAGGAGAAAGTTTGTGCATTTTATGTATAAATATCAAAGTTTACTGGTATTTACTGGTCCAAATGGACCATATCAACATGATAACCAAGCTCATTGAGGTTTCTTGGGAGTTTAAGATGCCGCTCTGTCTAGCGTAATTTGATTTAAATAAGGTCTTTGATTCTGTTGAGACTGAAGTGGTCATCGAGGCCCTAGCCAAACAGGGCGTTCAAACTCAATACATAAGGATCCTCCGTGAGCTGTATTGCGGATTCACTACCAGGATCTCACCATTCTACAAAGAAGTAATCACTGATGTCAAGAGAGGGGTTCGGAAGGGTGATACCACTTCACCAAAACTCTTCAGTGTACCCTCGAGAAAGTCATGTGACAACTGGAATGGGAAGGAATGGGAATGAAGATAGACGGTCGGCAAGTACATCACCTCCGCTTTGCTGATGACATTGTTCTAATAACACCAAACGTCAGCCAAACGGCACAAATGCTGTCCAACGTCAACCATGAGTGTGGAAAGGTCAGAATACAGCTGAATCTCACAAAGACAATGTTTATGAGAAACAGTCTCGTTCCTGATGCTCCATTCACTCTCAATGGGATGAACCTCTCCAAATGCAACAGCAATGTGTGCCTAGGTTGAGAAGTCAACATGGCGAATGATCTGGCACCTGAGTTGCGCAGGAGGAAGAGAGCAGCTTGGAATGCCTTGAAGAAAGTTGAAGAAATAGCTAAGAGGACGAAGAACCTCGGGCTCCTGGCACATCTCTTGAATTCCACTGTTCTTCCCGCATTGACATATACCTCAGAGACTTGGACCCTACAAAAACAGGATGAGCATGCTATTTGGGTATCCCAAAGAGGAATCAAAAGAGGTATGCTTGGAGTATTACACTTCACTCAAATGAAAAATCCAGAGATCCGACCTCCATCAACGGTCAAGAATCAGGTATGCTAGGGGGTATGGTGTTGCCAGCAGGTCAATCTGTACCTGTACGGCGAGTGCATCAGCAGCCTGATGGCACCGTTAGACTTTCAGATACCCCAAAATTTCTGCTGTGCCTTTGGCCAGACCCCAAAACCTTTAGGGAAAGTTTACAAAGAAAGTAAACGGCCAAAAGTTAGGTATGTGGGAGACACACCCATAAACCACTTCTGGCTCAGATATATAATTTGAGGCATGGCCTCTCTGGTTCCTAATCGAACTGCTTAACAGCCATGATCTCAGAGACTCAGAAATGAATATCGGAACCCAAAGGCATTTGGCAGAAATGTGTCCTGTTCCTGCAGTAGGTTACTGGGGTTGGACCACTCCAGGTGGGAATAGGTTTCGTGCCTTGGCCTGTTCCCCTTGGCGGCCTGGTGACTGCCATCCTCCAGAGGCCACTGAACAATCAGGTTTGGGCCTGCAGTGATGAGACACGTGGGGACTCACCAGTTAGGGGTGGAACAGGCCCTTTCCTCCCCATCCTAACGAGACCCTGAGTTGCCACCTACAAATGGCTTCTCTGGCTCCTGATAAAGCTGATTTATGGCCATGATCCCAGAGACTCAGAAACAAATCTCGAAACCCAGCGGCTTTTGACAGAAATGCATCTGGACCGCATACAAGATGGCCACCGCCTCAGAGCTTGTTGGAAAGCCAGGTATGAGCTGGTGGGGACTGGGCAACTACAATCTCTTGGAAAGGGGGGCAGTACCGGCTCATCCTTCACGGTCTACCAAGGTCACGAGTTGCCCCCCATAAGCGGCTCTTTGGCACGGCCATGGCTCCAGAGGCAAAAGGACTTAATCCAGAGCCCAGCAGCATGTGGCAGAAAAGTGAATGGACCATGGTTAAACTACGGCGTTATGCCTCCCCGGGAGGGAAAGGGTGTTGCTCCCTTCTACTTTTCTGCCTCCACACCCCCCCCCCCCCCCGGCAACAAGGTAGCCACCACCTCAGAGCTAATTGGAAACCAGGTATGAGCCAGTGGTGACGGGGCAACTGCAGTCTCATGGGAAGGGGGACGGTACTGGCTCATCCTTCACGCCCTACTGAGGTCATGATTTGCCCCCCCATGAGAGGCTCTCTGGTACAGCCATAACACCAGACGTACAGAAACCTATCTCGTAATTATCTGACTCTTTGCAGAAATCCAAAATCATTATATGATTCTCATAACCAGCTATAGAAAACAAAGTATTTCACAATGCCTTTTCAGCAATTCTGATTGTTGGGGGGGAACTTCTAAACAATAATGGTGCATCTTTTGTCAAAATAATTAATGTAATCAATGTAGATAAGAGTTAAGTGGAAATCATCTGCGTCACAGACATTGGGATGGGTGGGGGGGTATATTGGGGTTCTTGGTGGTGAAAAATGAGTACTGGTGATGGGAGAGGTGTTTGATCATTGTATGACCGAGACTTAAACCTGAAAGCTTAGTAACTTTTCCCACAGTGATTCAATAAATAAATATAAAAAGAAAAATAAATAAATAAAACTATGAAAAAAAAATCAGGGATTCTGTCTCATTTGCCAAGGCGTCGAAAATAAGATGAGCTGAACAATACTGGATAGTAATGAGATTTGGAGATGACCACTGGACCAGAGCAATTACCGACTGGATTCCACAGGACGTCAAAAGATCGCATGGTCGCCCACCTATGAGATTGTCAGACTTCTTCATGAAGACCTTGAATGATCGGTTTGAGGCTCTTTGTGTTCCTAGAGCGAGCAGACACCATTGGGCTACATTAGCAAGTGACAGGGACGAATGGAGACGTTACTGGGATCTGCTCAAGCAAATCGATGAGTAACATCTGTCAAGTGATCAAGTGATAAAATTTTAAGTAAAAAGTGTTAAAATGAGTGCTCATTTTGGCAGCACATATACTAAAACTGGAAGGATACAGAGATGATTAGCATGGCCCTTGCACAAAGGATGACATGCAAATTCGTGAACAGTTTCATTTTTTTTTTAAAAAAGGGTTAAAATGAAGTCTGTAAAAATGAATTGTATTGTTACTGATCACATAATTAAGGAAAAATATTTATCAATGTAGAGGTGCTTTTCTAGAACTGAACTAAAGTAAACTCACTGTATTTGCTCTATTTGTGTATGTATCTTTAGACATGTGTCCATGTATGCATATAGGAATATGTATTTAATTATTTAGAAATTTATAATTTGTTAATGCTTATGGTTTGATATACATAATTACTACACATACCCCCACCATAAACACCAAAATGTCACCTACCCTCCACCACCATCCATCCTTTTCTTCTAGTTTTGTCTTCTTCCTTTCTCTCCCTTTCCCTACTGTTTGGTAATAGATTCTATATTCAGATGCCAAGGATTTTTCATTGTTCAATATTGTTGTTTTCTCTGATTTTGACCCAATTTGCCATGAATTACAAAGTCTATTATTTTATCTCTTTCTGACTTACTTCATTTAACATGATAATTATATGAATATAGTAATTATAAAGCATGTAGAATGACGTAGCATATTACAAAAGTACTTAAGAATACTTTCATTGCAATATTTTATGATTTCCACAAATCACCTAAGAAAAATACACTCAGTACAATTAAAATACAGGAAATTAACATAAAGCACTTATAAAGGTTTATCTGGGTTTCAAAAAATATTTTGATACTGCAAATGTAAAAGCCGAGTCTCTAATGTTAGAACCAAAAAAACAGAATCGTAGCTAAACATCACAGTACATTCTATTTTATTTGAAAAATAGCCCAAGGTGCAGAGTAACGACCATTTGGAAAAGTAATAAATAGCAAAATTACAAGTAAAGAGTTGCCTCTTGCTTTCCCTTACTTGGAAATCATACTTTTTCTCTAAATTCGAGTATGCTTTTATCAAAACTAAAGGAGATAAATTTATTTACATGAATAAATTTCTACACATAAATTTAACAATTGCAAAAAAATTGATGTGATGAATAAAGAAAAAAAGTGCAATTAGAAATATGTGAATTTTATTTCAACTAGGTAAAGTTTTTGGGATTTCCATGTTTGAAATATAGATGCACAAAATAGGGGCTAATTTTGTTAGAAAAAAAAAAACAGAGGAACCAGTGAAACAGTAAAACAGAGAAGGTGCTTGCTTTGCCCATAGTTGACCCAGGTCTATCCCCGGTTTCATTTTTGGTTCCATGAGCCTCCACCCCCACAAGAATGATCCCTGGGGGCTGGAGGGTGTTTTGTGGCCAACCCTGGTTCGATCCCTTGCACCCCATATGGACCCCCAGGAACTGCCAGGAGTAATTCCTGAGTGCAGAGCCAGGAGTAATCCCTGAGAACTGCCGGTTGTGACCCAAAGAGAAAAAGAAAGAAAGAAAGAAGAGAGAGAGAGAGAGAGAGAGAGAGAGAGAGAGAGAGAGAAAGAAAGAAAGAAAGAAAGAAAGAAAGAAAGAAAGAAAGAAAGAAAGAAAGAAAGAAAGATCCCTGAATACCAAGCCAGGAGTACAGCCTGAACAAAGTTGGGGTTTATCTCCAAATATAAACAACAACAACAACAACAAAAATAGGACTAAATGGAATCATTATGCTAAGCCCCACAGAAACTGAGCACCTAACCCAATTGCAGTTTTAGTCTCTCTTACAAGTGAACTTTAATCCAAGCAGGGGTGGAATGTCCTGATCTGTACTAGTCAGAGACTCTGGTTTCCCCACGTGAAGGCATCCTTGCCTGAAATAGTACATTTTTGGGGGCCGGGGTATTATAATCTTATCACCTCTTACTGACTATATAATATTCCATCTGTCCAACCTTTAGGAACAATCTTCTAGATAGCATGGTATAGAATTCATGAGGCATTTAATAAAGCCAAATAGACCTCTAAATTTACTGGGATGAATTTTGTAATAGTACTAATCACAGTTTTCTAGAAAGAATAAAATAGCTATTTTGGGTCTAATATTTTATTGATAAATCAAAAGTAGAAGAAAATAGACAGTTTCTAAAATTCCCATTTATTTAAATTTTAGTAATGGAATATACATTTATACATTTAAGAGTCTTAAAAAAACAAATTAGGTATGAGGAGGTATTTAAGTTAAGAATGACTTTCTAAATAAATATTGCACTATGAAAGTGGAATAAAAAGAAAAGGATTCAAACTGTTAATCAAATAAATCTGATTCATAACTTTTCAAAAAACAAATTAAAAAGTTAACTTGTTTGTTAATAGTATTTTTGTTATTAAAATGGTCCTTAAATATTAATTAACTCAAGTTATGCATTTGTTCTTCCAAGAATGGTGAAAATGAGAAAGAAACTCAGCAAGGCGCAACGATTTAACAATTCTCTTTCTGAATTAAAACACAAAATCTGGGATTGGAGCAATAGCACAGTGGGTAGGGCGTTTGCCTTGCACGCGGCTGATCCGAGTTTGATTCCCAGCATCCCATGTGGTCCCCTGAGCACCGCCAGGAGTAATTTCTGAGCGCAGAGCCAGGAGGAACCCCTCAGCATTGCCGGGTGTGACCTAAAAAGCGCCCCCCCCCAAAAAAAAATCTACTCAAAGTGTTTGTCTCAAGAGTTTGCAATAATAGCTTTTATCCTACATGATTCAATTATAAAACCCAGAAAGGACTATACAATTAAATAATTGAAAGAAACCGTATTTATAAGAATATATGCTTATTTGGAGACTTTTGAAACACTGCTGATTTAAAGGAAACAAAGAAATGACAGAACCTCCCAAGGGGGTTGTTAATGCCCAAATTCAACAAGATGCAATCTAACTTCATTGTCATTCAGCCTCTTCTAGAAGTGGATATTTAAACCAATCAATCTGCAGTTTCCTGGCTGGGGTCAATAATAGTGAAACTATCCTCATGAGAGCACAAGCTCCATATTTTCTTGAAAGAGGATGGCCTGACCTGAAATAATCTTCTGTTTATCATTTTCCAGTAACCTTGTTCCAAACTCTTTCTGATTATAAAAATTTTCAATTTTATATAAAAAAGCCTTTTTATTGCCTCAATTAAGCTAAATGCTTTCATGTTCTGAATCATTTCTATGAATAAATTTTTTAACATACTATTTTTAGAAGTACAAAAATGTTGATTTAAAGTTGCACTTCCTGTAATCCAAGATATAGTAAAAATCAATGTTGAAATATGATACCTCTCAGTTAAGCTCAGTTTACTAAAACTCTTTTCCTTATGATTCAGTTTCATTATTATTAAAAAGAAAATGTTGTTGGAATAAAGTTAACTGCATCATTTAATCTAAATATCTTTGGAACAAGAAAAAGTACAAACAAAAAAATGAAATCATGACTATCATAGATAAAATTATATCAGGATGAATGTAACATTCAAAGCAAGGTAAAATAAGCATTGAAACCAAATCACTACTACTAAATTATATCTAAATAAAAATGTCTTTTTCTTAGTGTAACAAATGGGTCATTTTCAAGCCTTTTCCCCTATACTGCTTTTAATTAGATGAAGTAGGATTAATTATTATGGAAACTAATTCGGTTCTATAAAATCTTAAAACCAGTTTTTAAGATTATAAAACCTTAAAATATACTTTGACTAAATATTTATGTAGTTTTGTCTTCCTGCTACTGGTAGAATGTTTAGAAATTTTTTTAGTTAAATAATGAAAAATACTGATTGAAATATAATGAAGAGATCTTTAGCACTAGAACCACATATGAGGTTGGAAAAAATGTGATCATCGTGACTTACCTTTTGACTTTATCTAAGATAGCAAATACTTATTTCATAATTAATCCTCATTAGGTTTGGTTTTGACATATTGATAATCTGTGTACAAAATTTATCTGAAAATACCTCCTACTCCTGAGGTTAATATGTCTCAACCAAAGAAAACATCATCAGCAGTATAGATTATTCTACAAATGAAACGTATGATACATCAGAAAAAAAAAGCAGATTACCTGAAACATCTACAAGGCATAGTGAATAAAAAGAATAAAAACTTGGAAATTTTATATATATATTAAATCTTGTCCTCAAAACAATGAATTGACATAGTCAAAACTAATATTGCAAATATGCAAAAGCTTGGAATGGTTAAGATAAAAGACTAAACTCAGCTGACAAGGAATCAAATGAAGGTTTTACTATTAATTAAGTACTTTTCTGTAAATAAGGAAACAGAAACTCAGGAAAGTTTAATAACTCCTATAAACCTATAATAACTATTAAATTCTATACCTAGGATCTATATTTTACTAAAATTCGCCACATTAAATATTATGTCATTTCCTAGATTAGATATCTTCAGTTCCAAGTTTGATTCCAAAGCTACAATGCTCAGCGTTACTGACTGATTTCTATTAACTAATTAGTAGCACTATAGCACTGTCCTCCTGTTGTTCATACATTTGCTCGAGTGGGCACCAGTAATGTCTCCATTGTGAGATTTGCTGTTACTTGTTTATTTAGATATAATTGAGTAGTAATAACTTTTAGCATATCAAATATGCCACAGGAATCTTGCCAGGCTCTTCTGTGTGGGCAGGATACTCTCGGTAGCTTGCCAGACTCTTGGAGAGGGATGGAAGAATCGACACAAGGAAAACGCCCTACCCAGTCCAACTAATTAGTAATGAATCAATATTAAGCAGAACACAGATATTTTTTTTAGTTCTTTCATTATGTTATCTTCTTTTAGAGGATAAGCAATATCTACTCACCCTTAATAATAACACATGAGCACATGCATATGAGGAGTTATTTCCTTTATCTTGTTTACTTGTTTTGATTTTACTAGTAATGAAAATGAATCATAAATCTACATTCCTTTTGAGTTACATAAATATCCTAGCAAAGAAGACTTACCCCTTTCCTATCCAAGCAGGGCACTTTCCCCCTTATATAAGGTCGGTCATAATGGAATCAGAGTTAAAAGCATAGAGTTGAAACTACAACATTACTCATGAAACAATTTAAACTTCACCCACTGATACCT